TAGTGCAAGTGATACAAAACCAGCCACGATACTATAGAGTGAAAATCAGGATTAAAACCAGACCCTTCAACCTATTGCAGATGCCCAAAGAGCTATGAGTAATGTGGACAATACAAGACTTGTGCTAGTCACTAAGCCCACATATTTATTTGAGGCTACTGTAGCCAACCAGGAAGAGTGAAGATGTGGAGTTCCCCAACTCACATCAGGCTACGCCATTGGGAAATGATGGAACCAAGGGCTAAAAGGTAGATACTGAAAATAACATCTGGGAAACACCAACAAGTACATGACAGTCCAGATGGAAGACATCAGGTGACAAAATGCAGCATGAAAGATGAAAGCAGGGACATATTTTTTCAGTTCTGTTTTACCCTCTTATATATGGGGAAAACCGCCATATAGATCCCCTCTGGCCTACAGAGAACACATCAGCCTTCACACAAACCTAGAATTCAGCTTTTTCTCCCCAAATGTGTGTTACCAGAAACTAAACCTTCCCAGAAGAGTAGGCGTTTCAACATCTGCAACCGCTTATGCCTCTCGTGACCTCAGTGCAACTGAGGGAATGGAAAACCGTCCGGTTTTGAGAGGACTCCAGCCGAAGGAATACAATCCACAAACAAACCCTTTCTTTAAGCCCAGTGATGTATCCTTGGAGGGCATCCATGTCCTTGATGATGGGCCTTCACTGAAGATGGAAACTAGGGTGGTGCGTGTGTGCAAGGGCTCTCTGCAATGCATACCATATGCTATTTGAATCCAGCGTAGACTCGAGAACTAAGTGGTTTTCAAGTTCCACATCAAAACATCAGGGATCCAGGTGATCTGTTCATATGCACATGGGACAGGGCAGGAACTGTACCTGATGGCTTCTTTCCCCTGGAATTCCGAAGGCACAGGTTCAACTATCTCACTGAAGCTTAAACTGCCATTGACGCTGCTCTCATACAATTCCTTGTAGTTCTTTCTGTGCTTGGACCAAAAGGAGGGCTTCATGAAGAAGAACGGTGTGCGGCGCAGTCCAAACTCCCCTGGATAGCAAAGGAAAAAGCTAGTTTCTTAACAGTAACTGCAGATCCTCCTCCAAATTTGGCTTTTAACTATAAAACCCACGAGCTACTCTGCTAAAGGCTCAGGAGTCAGCCTGAATCCCATTCTGGAGGGATTCCATCAACCAAGTTTACATTATCTGCATTTAAGCTGTGGTTCCCATCAACACTGCTAGCAGGCTCCGGGTTTTGCTATTTAAATACATGTGCAAATCTCTTTCTAGGCAAGAGAAATCCCCAATGCTGAAAGAAAAGTGACTTAAACACAGGCTTAAAAACCAGAGAGAACAGAGGCAAAGGGAGCTGAAGGGTTCAACCAGGCATTAGTCACAAGATTAACAACTGTATTCTGTGTTTCATGTTAAACTACTGCTGTCACAGAGAAAGGTCTGGAGCAGGCAGAGCAGTCTTTAATTTTCAACCCTGTAAGAGCAATTTGCTAAGGCTGAGGCATTGGTTAACCCAGTAAGGAAGCTTTTCCTCTACAAAGAAGGAAACAGTAGTTTAGCTGGCATGCCTAAGGGCCACCGATTCTGAACATGCTGATATCCCTTCCTCACATCTCACACCTTTAACAGAAGGTAATTTACTTCAGCTACAAGTATTCTGAGTCACAGTGTATTTGCAAACAGCATCACCTCCTTTCTCCACAGTTGAAATTCAGACAGAAATAGAATCCTAAGATGGTTTGGGTTGGAAGGGACCTTAAAGCTCACCCAGTCCCAACCCCTTGCCACAGGCAGGGACACCTTCCACTAGAGCAGGTTGCTCCAAGCCCCTGTGTCCAACCTGGCCTTGAACACTGCCAGGGATGGGGCAGCCACAGCTTCTCTGGGCACCCTGTGCCAGCGCCTCAGCACCCTCACAGGGAAGAGCTTCTGTCCAAGAGCTCATCTCAATCTCCCCTCTGGCAGGTTAAAACCATTCCCCCTTGTCCTGTCACCAGCTGTGTCAACCTGGGGCTCAGGACCTCAGGAACTGGTGATGCTAGCACCATTCAGTCCAATTTTTCTCATGAACATACCTGGCATAATCTGATCCAGGTAGACAGCTACAAGCAGATAAAATATGCTATCCAGCACCAATAAAATGAGAGAGATAAAGAGCGGGTAAGGACCGTGACTTAGACTCGAAAACGTTGCACCATCTTCATAATCTTCTAGATGCATGACCTGCCAACAACCAGGGACAGAGGGAGATGTTACACACCAGCACTGTACCAGCCTGGGAAGACACAACAGCAAACTTAGCACAGGAATAACTGAAAAAGTGACTGAGATCACAGCAGTGAACACAAAGAATAAAGCTGCTTCAGGGTGCACTGTATTTCACTTGATATTAAATTGCTAAGGTAAGCTATTAAAATAGGCATTTTTTACCCCATCATCATCAGTGTGTTAGAGAAAATCATCATGATTTAACTGCATCAAGATCTGGTTGAAGATGCTACAAGACAAACGAGCACAATCTGAGGAGAAGGTGGTGAGTTACCTGAGCAATGCCGATCAAGAAGCTGCACTGACACAAGGGGCTGAGGATCCACACGAAAGACTTGGGGAAATCTTCCAGCAGGACGATGTTAAGACCCACAAACCCAAAAGCCAGCGTTGCCAAGAACTCCACTATACCCACATGTTTTGACTTTTTAAATAGAGGTGTCAGCATAAGTGCAAAGAAAACCTAAGAACAGATTAAAGAAAGAGGTAATAAGGTACTATATTAAGATATATTATAGGGTATATGAAAACCAAAGTAAAAAGACCACAGCTTCAATTTTCCCTCTGATAATCCCATCATTTTCCTGGTAGTCACTACAGCATTCACCCACATGCCACTATTCCCTTACAAACAGACTATTGGGAGGGGCAGATTTCCCAAAGATGCCAAATGACAGAGTACACGAAAATACTATAAAGAAAAAATTTGTTATATAAATTAATTCTCTCACCTTTAATTAGGGTTTTAACATTACACTACATAGAAACAGCTAATGTTTAGAAGAGGGCATGGCTTTGGACTTCAAAATGGTGCTGTACAGACAATGTTCAAAAGAGGGTGATTATCAGCTTAGGTATTTCAGTAAGGAAAGGTATTTTTCATAGTGACTACTGAGACCTGTACAACATCCTAAGCTGGAGCAGACCCAGGGAATGGGATGGGGATGGGTAAGATACCCACTCCCAATTGCTCTTAGAGATGCTGTGTTTGTTCCAGATGCTTTCATAGGGAGAACAAGATCAGATGGGAAGGGAAAAAACTCCACAGGGATGGGATGGATGAATTCAGCGAGATCAGGAATACTTACTGAAGAGACTCCGTACAGGAAAAAAAGGAGGAATATCACAAAGGCACTGCTCTGGGGAAAGAGGGAAGAGGCCGTCGCAATCACCGCCATAAGAATGGACATGACAAAAATCAGGCTTATGTACAGCAGCACCCAAGAAAGCCTAGGAGCAAAACAGGGCAAGAAGAACAGAAACCAGTCAGTGAATTCCCAGCCGGAATTATCCCCACACACAAATAGCTAAAACTACCATTCTTTAATATTCCAGACAGCTGCACCAGAGGACAAGCTTGCAGCAAAACAAGAGCCCCCACATAAAGAGAGCTCTTATAAACATCCCTGTGATTGTTCCAGGCACTAGAGCACACACATCAATACTCACAGCATCAGAAAGTTACACAATTAGATGATTCATGATTTTTATATTATTTAAACTTGCATCATTAATTCCCTGATACCACCAGAAGAGGGTAACTGAGCAGGAAGCTTCAATAATTAAAGAAATCCTATTTAATATTTAATACACTGGTCATTCCAGTAGCTGGGCTGGGTAATAAAATCCTTTTCTTTGTAAAAACAGAGCTGCAAGCCTGGGAGCAATTCTGACCTCAGGAAATGAGGGGGGTTTGCAAACAGGCGGCGAAAAATGACACATCTTCAGTAGCAGCAAGTTTCTGAGTTACATTCAGTGGACGATCAGAGCTGCGTTACCAGCATGTCATAACACATCGCTCCCATTTCACTACGGGAGAAGTAAAGTGATTCTCTCTGGACCAGAGATGCTCAGTGCTGATGTGCAAGGGGCAAGTGGGGTTACAGGAATAATGCCATGGGTGAAGACTCGACTAAATAGGATTTATCACCAAAGATGTACCACAAATAACCAGAACTGCCAGGAAAAAGCTGGGGTGCAGAAATCAAACAAAAGCACCCGGACAAAAACAACCCAGCTAGCTGTTACAATGGGAAAGATGCTAAAACGCTGCTGGCCCCTGCAGCAAAGGGCAAAGCTAAACCCATTTTTATCTCTGCAGCTACCAGTGATTTCAAATTAGTACATCCCCTCATTTGGAAATAAGCCCAAACATTATATTGCACAGGGTAATTTCCATCATGGTAAGGAAACAAATTAAAACCTGTTGCTTAGACTGCTCTGCCACATTAAAATGATTGAGTTAGATTCATTTAATTACATGTTGGGGAAGCTGCTGCTCAGCTCAGAAGAGAAACTGCAGGTTACCTGTGGAGCCGCCAGAAAAGGAGGCACTGAGCCAAAAATATTTAAAACCAATAAAACCCAAACTACATAAAAATCTCACACATCATCACATTTAAACCCCCTAACTCAGGCATAACTTTACACGCATAAATGCAACAGCATTGCTCTGGTATTTATTATCAAAATGATGCTGCAAGTTTCTCTGTTAGATTTTACAGAGCATCTCACTTCTAGGCTGTTTCCAGTTATCAGCCTGAAAACAACCAGAGAACTGGTGGATGGGATAGAACTGTTTTCCTAGAAAGTGTTGTTTTCTACATTTCTTTATATATTTTATATTTCTTTTATCAAGAATGGGTTATTTCAAACACTCACATACCAAAAGGCAGTGTCGTGAAGTCCCAGTATTTTTAAGAACTCCTTCAGCTTCCTCTCCTTCTCTGCCACAATATGAATTGCCAGATAATACCCAAATGGTGAGAAAGCAATCACCAAGTAAATTAAAATGATGGCACGGGGAAAATTATCTATTTCCACCACTGCAGCCTCTCCCATAACCATTGCTCTTGTCAACTCAAGTTGTTCCCAAACCGACTGATTAGTCTTCAGCTGGAAGGAAGAGAAGGAAGAGTTAGTTTTGCACCACTCCTGTTTTCACAGCCCCATCAAATCCAGCAGCAGCAACTCCAGCTCAGCCCCTAAGTGTTGTCGCTAACAGGGAAAGATCTGGAGAGACCAAACCCCTACAAGTCTCCAAATCCCAGTCTAAAAGCACAGAAATTAGAGAAAATCTGGATGCTAAAAGTAATGATTTTGCAATTCCTATCATCTAAAAATATGAGACTGGCTCTCACTGCAAGAGGCATGATGAGAATGCAGCAGGGAAAAGGGCATTGCTGGCAAATACCAGCACCAAAATAGTAAGGCAAATTCTGCCTCTCCTTTTGGTACAGCATTTGAAATAGCATTTTGAGGTGAGTATTGCTAAGCCTTTGTGTTTTGTTGTCTAATGCAAGGCTCCAGCTCATTAGCACACAAATGAAGACAAATGTCTGCATTATTCAAATGGACAAGAACATCTCTGTACAAAACATGGCAAAACACACATGAAATAGAATCACGGAATGGTTTGGGTTGGAAGGGACCTTAAAGCTTATCTAGTTCCTACTCCCTGCCACGGGCAGGGACACCTTCCACTAGACCACGTTGCTCTTCTCATTGGATTCAAGCTGATTATTGATATGGGATTTTATACCATTAATAGATAACATCACAAAAACAGAGCCCTGGCAGCCCACAGATTTGAACCTCTTGGTTTAATAACATCATGTTTTAGATTCACCTGTATAATTGCAGCATCAATGCAGGCTTGCAGAGCTATAAACCCCGAGCTCCAGTATGTCACCGATTCACATCCTTTCCGCAGGTTGGAGCAACTGGCTGCAGGATGAAGCATGACATTTTAAAATGCAAACAGCCAGAGTTAATCTGTCCTGTCCCCAATATAAAGATGGGAATGACTTCTCAGTTTATCCCTTAAACAGTACATGTAAGTGTGCACATTCACCTCTTGATTCCATATAGATGGAAGACATAGCGACCGAATCATGGAACCTCAGCTGGTAGGACATGGCATCGTTGAATACAACACCCACAAAGTTTGAGGGTTTAAAAGCACTGGCCTCTTGCAGCTCCTCTTCGCTTAAATACTCCTCAGTGATGATGCCTGTGAGGTAAAGGACATTATCACACTGGTTTAGGTATCAGCACAACAGGGAGAAAAACTGTGCATCAGTTTTAAAGAAGCATCATGTTAATCATTAATGACTTCTGTCACTTTGGAGATGGAGCTATAGATACAGAGTTGTATTTTCGTCCCAGTGAAGGAAGTATTCTCCTAAATAGAAACTGGCGGGAGTATTGCTCAGTAGCAGGGAAAAATTTAGTCTTATCCCTGAATCTTCCTCTTTTCCCCCCCTATTTTTTGCTGCTCCAACAGCTTCTGAGCCCCAATCCTCTGCCAGCTACTCGAGAGTTATTCTCCACCACCAGTGCTTTTCAAGAAGGGCAGATTAAGTGGTACATTGGGCTAAATATATGAAAACATGGTATTTGGCACCAACTTCAGCAGAGGGTGGGAGGAAGATGGGAAGAAAGCAGAAAGTGGAACCATTTGCACCCATAAGGAAAGTGTAGATGTTGGACTGGTTCTCCAGCTCCTCTGAAGCATGCAGAGCACAAGGAAGAGAATCAAAGACACCAAACTAATATATCAGAGGGGTTTGGGAAGAGATAGGTTCCCACTTATGTGCAAGATGTGTAGTCGAAGCACTTAGAAAAAGAAAACAAGAATAAAATCCCTTTCAAAAGCAGAGGTGACACTGTGTTAATAGCAAATAAACAGAAATAAAGAAGTCGTTGCGATAGTAACAACAGGACAGAAACCACAACTTAAAACAGCTGCAGGACAGCAGCATCTCCTGAATTTGCCCCAGGATGTCACAGGACAAGTATGAACTAGCTCCAGAGTTGTCCAAGGGCTCTTTGTACTTTGCCTTTGGGGCCTCCCAGATCCTCTCCTGCAGCCACATAACACTTGTTGGCTGCAGCAGGAGAATGGGAATTGCTGTGTGATGGCAGTGCCAGAACATTTGCCAGCCAAGCAGAAAAAACGCCTTCACAGTCTCTGTCTGAGCAGAAAAGAATGAAAAGAAATGCTTTTTTCCTATCATCACCAGTGACAACCACAAGCCACAGCGCGAGATACACTGAGGAAAATAAGATGCTTAGTGTCTAAATACCATCTTCAAAGTTATCAAAAGCCACTTTCTTCATGATTTCTCGCGCCATCCGGGTTGGTGGTGTGTATCCGATGATGAAATTCACCAATACGGAGGTATCCAGAGTGCCAAGGTTGGTGTTGGCCACCTCGCCATACTTCCGATGTGGGTGCATCATGCTCATCAGAATGAGCCAGAACAAGAAGAAGAGTGGGAACAGGACCTCCTGTGCGAGGAAAAAAAGAAAGAAATGTGACAACTCAAAGAGTGAGCCTAGAAATGAAAACTGCCACAAGTTTCTCCTAGTTACACAAAGCTTAAAGGAAGGACCATGAGTTTAATCACCTTGTTCCTGTAAATTCCCCTGAACATTTGCAATGCAACAACAATTTCAGTGACAAATCCTTCCCTGGCACTATAGCAGGATTTTAATCGCACGCATTAGTAACCTAAGAAGGCACATTAAGGTACAAAGGGACAATTTTGCATGCTTTAAATATCAGCAAACTTATGCTGTTTGGGTGGAAAGCAGCAAAACACAAAGCATGAACCGTTAAACAAGTCTAGCCAAGCATTGAACTGCCTCTTCTATACCTCAAAACGAATCTTGAAGTATTATACGCATTACCTGTGCACAGGGGTGAACTGTTAGGAAAGACAAAGCTTTTTGGAGAGGTCAAATCCTGCTATAATGCTCAGATATGGGTGCAAACATGCACTGAGACTGCAATAATAATACAAGGATAATGCCTTACACCTCAGGATACATTTTCAACCAAAGCACCACAAAATACCTTCTCAAAAATCCTATTCCACCCCAAAATTCAGGGCAGAGCATGAAGCTTCAGAAGCATTGCAACAAAACTCTGACTCAGGAGCCACTTGACTGCAGAATAACAGCAGACACAAAGGCAGCAGCAAGTGCTCCACTTACCTGAACGCTGCTCTTTTTAGTCCTGCACTTAATAAGACAGTTCTTGAATAGAAGAGCTCTCGTTTGCCTCCATACTCCTGCTTCTCTTGGAGCAGCTGGTGCCATTTTTCAAGACTAGATTGTTTAAGAAACAAAGAATCTGTATTAAATGACAAAACAATTTAAAGAGCAAAGCCAGGCAGCTGCAGCACTCATATCTATATGATAGAGATATATGAGCTGCAGCTCATATATTTATATTTTCATATAAACTTTTCAGTTTCTCATAGTTTAAATGCCTTCCCATACACACGCTAGATGCTGTGACAGGCAGGAATTGGTAGCACTGATTTATAAGGTCTACTGATTTACCCTAAGCCATCCTCTGCGCAAAGGTGGGGTCAGCTCGATGCAAACAAGACTTGAGCTAACCTGGGCTTGTTTTAATTTTGCTACTATAAATTACAAACCAAAGTCTTTACCTCAGGGCACAACAGCAGCGTCCATCACATGGCAGCCAGCCAGATCCATGCATCCAAAAACAAGAGCTACCTCACCCCAGGCAAACTGTCCAGTTAACTGTGAGTACACCCCTTTGCATCCTGGAGCAGATCCAACACTACTTATTTTCATTACTGTCTATCTTTTCATTAGGCCACCTGCTCAGCACAGTGGTGCTGAACATAATCTTTTAGGAAATAAAAGAAGAAATTAAAATGAAATTGAAGATGCTCTTCCAGGAGAGAGCATCCCATTCCACCTGGAATACCTGGTGAGGGACAGCAGGCTGGGGAACCGCCAGGTTTCTATCCCGTTTTGCCACCACCTTGCTGTCCAAGGTTTGGAGTCACTGGTCAATCCACATCTCTCCCTGTTTCCTCATCTGTGGAGCTGAAATACAACTGTGAATGGCTCAGCAGGGGCAACCTGGAGATGAGCACTGGTATGGACCCAACCACCCCTTCCAGCCGTAAGTCCCACCTCCAGCAACACCAACATGCCACAGGTTACAACCAAGTAATTTCTCATTATTCAAGACAGTGCAGATTTCAATGATGTTTCCATATTCCAGGTTTTTCAACTACCAACACTCATTCCAGAAGCAGACTGATGTTTTTGGTGGCTGCATACTCAGAGCAGCTCTGCATCAGGACCCGGCTCTGCTGTTATCTGTTAGACAACACATGGCTCAAGCTTCCTTCCCCAGCTGTATTTTAATATGGATATCTATTTTTGGAGCACAAACATCACCTAACTACAGAAACACATGAGGCTGCTGACATGCCGGCACTGCTGCTGTGAGCTGAGCTCCAGCAACTTCAAGTACACAAACTACTCCTGCATTTCTCCAGGTGTAGGAGGAAGAAGAGGAGGGGAAAGGCGTCCGAAAGCACCCAGACCCACTGATCACAGCTTCCACTGCTGGGTGCTTGGGTCCTTCCCTGGGCAGTGACCCAGCACTAGGACCCATGATGGCTGCGTGTCACTGGAGGCAAAGCCTTGGGAAAAGATCCCACTTAGAACCTGGATAAAGCCCCATTGAAACTACTCCAGAAATGAAAAACATACAGATTTCGACAAAAAGAATAATGGATGCTTAAACATGAAGCTATGCTAATAGGCAATCCTCACAGGAAACATGCACACAGCTCCTCTGGGTATTTTAGAGCTTCAAAATGACAGCACAGCGGTTTAGAATTAATCAGAAGCAGCAGCTATTGCTTACAGGTCATAAAAAATAACATGCTGCTGCCCTCTGCTCACACTGTGCCCTGTTAAGTGCTTGGGCTGCCACTGTTTGCTTTCAGGAGCAGATTTCAAGAGCTCTTACAAGAGAAGCTCCACTGAGGTCCTTACTGAACACTGTGCAACTGTATTAAAAGCAGTGATCCCTTCCCTTGGTCTTCTCTATTTTAAAGAGAAGCCAAAAAAACCTGACAAAGATGCTTTAATCAGACTGACTCACTAACACCAGTTACTGCTGCTTCAATTATTTTCTATCCGCTTATAAACTAACAAACAGCAATACTCCCACATCCTCGCTGGAACCTTTCCATGCTTTAATTACATCACCTCCCTCGGTTGGAGGAAGGGTCATTTTCAGACTGTCAATTGATTTCTTGCTATTCCACCTGCCATCTCCACTTAAGCTAATTGTCCATACAACACATTGGGAATGCTGAAGGAGTATCACTTGAATGGTGAAAAACGGTTGAAAACCAAACCCAAATCCTTCTAGATGTGGCAATGAACCCGTAGGCTGAACACAAAAAGAGGCTGCCAAGGTATTTATTCGAATAAGACTGGACAAAATGAAAACACTCCAAAAAGTCCCCCACAATTTAGGCACTTCCTTATGATCTTATCCCGACAGGAGAAGCAGCTGAAACACAACTACCTGTGGGCATCTCAATCAAAGCAATTTCTGGGTTTTAATTCCACATCGGGGATGCTCATCCTTCTTAAAGGGCCTTCCCCAGACCAACCTGACACTGGCCTTTCAGCGTCAGTTGATGTGATTTACTGCTGCCCTTCAGGTTTCCCCCGGTTTTTAAGCTAAAATCCCAAACAAGGGGTGGGGGATGAATCTCAGCTCAATGAGCTTGAGGAAAAAGCAACCAACTTATCAGTGAATGACAGGTAAGAATGCAAGATTATTGATCTCGCTGCAAGCAGACAGTAGCCTAAACGATACTTAAGGAAAACCCTGAGGTACTTGTTACTGGGCTTAAATTATTTAAGCTCAGTGCTTTATTTATGCATTTTTAAAACGGGATGAACTTTCCTCCCTGCCTGACTCCCAAGGGATACAGCCGCGTCTCCAGCTGAGGGGCACCATGAAGCCCGGCACCGCAACCTCCAGCCCTCCGGACCAATACAGTGTACAACCGTACAGTGAAGGAATGCCCGGCTCCCGCATCTTTTTTCGCATCCATATCCCGCACCCCCCTGCCGCATCCCCCCGCATCCCGCTCCGGAGCTCCACCGGTCGCTAATCGCGAGCGCGGGATTGAGTACACCCCTCCGTGTTTCCATCCATCCCTCCCCTTCCCCCCAAAAACCCCCTTCAAATACCAGCTCCTCACCATTCTTCGCCCAGCCACGAAACCTTAATGAACACATAAATAAATGACCCAGAGCCTTTACTCCGGGGTAATGACGCGCACCGGCAGGTACTGAAAACTCCTCCTCTTCCTCTCCTTTCCTTCCCCTTCCCGTTTTACACC